GCTTCTGGGTTCAAATGAAAGTCACATTGCAACTCGAGTAATGGGAACGTTTGGGTATGAGTATAACCTGAATTGCTTTCCCTCGAGAAGAATTGGTTCACAGAGAAAAATTTTGATATCTATCTCACAACATGCTTTGTATTAAATGAACAGTTATGTGGCACCCGAGTATGCTAATACTGGCTTGTTGAATGAGAAGAGTGATGTCTACAGCTTTGGGGTCCTCATGCTTGAAGCTGTTACAGGAAGAGACCCTGTGGACTATGGTCGTCCTGCTAATGAGGTACAGCACAGGTCTCCAGATTAGAGATTCTGTCTGTTTCTGTCTGTCTCTCTTTCAGTGCATGGACATTAATACCCATAAAAGCACCAGCGGTACAAGGAGAGACACTGAGTGTGCATGTGCACCTACACAGACTCCAGCAAGTTTGCCTGTTTATGTTGTTTATCTGGTTATAACAAAGATTCAATTTTGGTTTTCTGAGGACTTGCAAGTTCATATTTTTCTTCCATCAAATGCAGGTAAATCTTGTTGAGTGGCTAAAGTTAATGGTAGGGACAAGAAGAGCTGAGGAAGTTGTGGACCCAAATCTCGAAATAAAACCATCAACGCGTGCTTTAAAACGTGCCCTTCTGGTCGCTCTTAGATGTGTTGATCCTGAATCGAACAAGAGACCTAAAATGACCCAGGTTGTACGCATGCTTGAAGCTGATGAATACTCATCAAGAGAGGTACGCATCACTGGTTTTTGGAATATTGGACTTACATGACTATGGAGACGTGTCTCTACTATGTACCGATTTGATGTATTTTCTTCATGGTGACAGTTTCTATCTTTGATTTTTCAAGCTATTGATATATTAGGCACATAACTTCTTTTTTCTTTTGTTCCCCAGCTGATAGCCTTTGGGCCATTAAGCTTATGTTGTATATGTAGTCATTTCACCTTCACTTTACTTTTACATATTCCGGCTCAAGGGCTGGTGTACATAACAGGGGACAGTTTTCCTAATTTTCGAAACTTTAATGAAGATGTGAGTTGGTCGCCGGTTTTGGGTATAATTTAGTGAGATTGGATGGAGTTACTGTAGTGTTACTTAGGCACGTTTTGTTGCCACTCTCTTCTGTTGGCATCAAGTTACCAGTATACTTAATGCCATATACTCTTAGGAATCAAAACCTGGTGAGGAACCGGTACCGTTGATGATTCATCATTTTGAGAATACACTGAAAATGCATTTTGGGATTTAATTATGTAGCTTTGTGCATCTTTTTCCAGGATCGGAGAAACCAAAGGAGCCAGACAACCTGCAGGGAAATTGAACCTGTCAAGGAAGTCTCTGGTTCTGGTGACATGAGAAACAAGGTGGACGATCTGGAGAGCCACCAATCGGAGACAATGGTGCATAGGACTGACTAGATGATCCCGGTTAAAGATCTTGACCTTAATGCCTTCAAACTTTCGAGCACCCATTTTCTGTTTTCACATTGCGGAGCAGTTTCCATTTGAGATAGGAAGGGTATAAAATGGATCCGAGGAAGTCGACTGCAGTGATCATTTTTCCTTGTTTCTTGAGTGTCGGCAGGCAATATTTAAAAGAACCACCTGCTACCCAGAGAGAGAGAGAGAGAGAGAGAGAGAGAGAGAGAGAGAGAGAGAGAGAGAGAGAGAGATGACTTGATGTATAGGTATACTTCGTGCTGAACTATCTCTACGAATGATGTATTACTCATTTTCTTTAATATCTTATATAGAGTTCAAACTTTTCTTCTGAGATGCAAGATCATCTTGCTTGAGTTTCTGTTTTTGCCCCTCTTGGTCTTGCTTTCCAGGGATGTCTCTCGAATCTTTTGCTTCCATCTGGTTAGTAGTCTTATGTCGCTCTTTAGCTAAGTCAGTGCAGCGCTGATCAATCTTCTGCTACTGATCCACCGTTCATCAAAGCATACAACGACTCTCTTTGTATGCCTCAACGTAAGATGGTAGAATGCACATTTTCACCAAGTTAAGATAACTCCGCAGCCAATTTCTAGAGGGTATTTCATGGGTTCAGGGTTTATCGACCTAAGGTGGAGTACCAGTCCATAAAAAAGGAATGCTTTTGTTGCCAAAACTGCTCACTGCCATTTGCTGGCCGGGCAAGCCCGGTCAAGATGATGCGGAAGTGATGAATGTAATTATACTTCCGCACATGTTCTGTTCACAGCCTTTGCTCTCCGAGCATGACACTCCCCTCGCATGCCGCAAGGTACCTGGGATGTCTTCATGGCTTTCTGTCCGAATCCAACTTACGTCATGTGGAATCCTTACTTCTCCATTCGATCTTCACATGTACTTCCCTCCTTAATACTGGATTTTTGCTTCGCAACAGTTTGTGACCTTAAGGGGACTCTGCATAATGAGTTCATTGCTGCAGCATCATGCAGAGCAGACCTGGAGTCTCCGAGATTGAAGTCCTCTGTTCCTGTTCTTTTGGACAAGAGGCCATAAGCAGCCCATGAATAAGGTTTGTCTTTGTTAAAATGAACTCATGATGCTAACATCGATCCGACCGGAATCACGACACTTCGACACGATCTTCCGCCTCAGCTGCCCGTCCATTCGAGCCAATCACTAAGCATGATCTCATCGATACGTCCGATTTGCTTAAGTCATAAATTTACTATATTGATACTAATTCAATTTTAAACTTTTCAATTAGACCAATTTAGTCATAAACATTTTCACATTGATACAAATTCAGTCAATCTAGCCAATTTAGGCAGGAAATTATTAACATGAACGCCGGCCGTTCTACGCGGCACCGTTAGTGCTAACGTGTACAAATTTTACAAATTTGAATATTGAAAATTTTAATTATTTTATTAATTTTTTTTCTTATCTTACACTTCGGACCGCACAAGGTCACTAGCCATAAGTTAGGGCGTCGGGCCCTTGCCTCAGCCCTCGCTTGTGGTCGATGAGGGGCGGAGACCCATGCCCTGACCTCCCTTGTGGCTGGTGGGGGTTGGCCGGTGACCTCACCGGCCCACAATTGGGGAAAAAAAAGAACGGAAAGGAAAGAAAAGAAAAAACAAAAATATTAATAAAAATTCAGAAAAATATAGAAATTTGTTCCCGTCAGTACTGTGTCAACCGTGTCACGTAAGACAGCCGTCGTCTACGTTAGCAATTTCTGGCCTAAATTGGCCGGATGGACTGAATTAGTATCAAGATTTAGGACTAAATCGATCAACATAATAGGTTTTATTTTTTTTTTTAATTTGTATCTACGTTCGAGTGCATGAAAATCAATCAATCCATTTGAGGTCAAATCTACAACTAACCCACAAATGGGGCGAGATTCCATAAGCTATGTAATTGAACATGCTAATTGCAATTTACAAAACCTTCATCAATATGGTCAACGTACTAATCAAACACGCCCTTCACGGATTCAAGAATTAACTAAACCACCCACGTCTTGTCGCATGTTGCTTCCGATAGCTATTCCACATGTCTAATTATGGCTCTGCAAAGACTTATTGCATTAGGACAAAGATGTGTCCTATTTCTATGAATTGGCAGATACATGTTCTAAGCACTAAGTCTCAAAAGAAAGTATTGCTATGTGGTGGCTATATAACCATAATCATTGCATTATGTTTTAGAACAAATATTTTGATCATAGTTATCTGAAAAACACATAATTAACTTGAAAAACTCATAAATGCAAAATATATTAACGAAAGCTATCAGAAAGGAAAGAATTATTTCGAGAATAAATCGAGGGAAGTTTAGATATGCACTGTCGGGGGAAAGAAATGTTGCGAATTTCTTTAAGAACACAAATTGAATGTTGCATACTTTTTTACCCAACAATTCTTTTGTGATATATATTGTCATGGATGAGACGCCCATCGACTTTCACCCAAAAAAAAAAAATAGATATTTAAATGGTTATTAAAAAGAATAGGGAAATATGTGGAATCGGAAGATGATCTTAAAAAAATCACCTCTAAATCTCTATAAAACCATTTTACACTCAAGAAAATTCTACACAAATAGCATGCTTGCGTTGTTTTTTTTTACGCTAAGCCGATGGCACAAAGGTGAAAGGAAAGATATCAAAAAAGGGATTTACATACTTTACTCTTTCATGTGTTGTATTAATTCATTTTATTTTACTTGTTCGAAAAATATTGCATGTTATTGTGTTATTATTCAATAAAAAATTACATTTTTCTTTTTTTTATGTTTTCTATTAATTAGAGGATAGACCTATATTGTGGGCTTTCAAGTACATTTTTAATAAAAATCCACGTAAAATCTGGCGGGAAAATTGATTGATGTGTATATTCATTTTGTTATCATTTTCTGCATATTATTATATTTCTCTTACCGAAATTCACATTGACACCATTTAGAATAATATAACAGATATAGTTTTAGACTCGTGCAAAGCACGGGCATCTTGCTAGTATACATTAAAACAAGTTTTTTTTTTGCCTAATAATCACAAAGAACAATAGGTAAGACAGAAGAAAATAGATGACTGATTTTGTTAGATCCCTCGGCATGCTAAGTAGTTGCTTTCTCAAGATCAAGCTCAGCTTAACTGAATTTTCATTAATATTTGAGCTTGACTAAACTTCACTCAATTAACAGGTAAATTTCAGTCTAAACTGGAGCTCAAACTCCAGCTGGAGCTCGAACCCAAAATCAAACTATATAATGCAATAAGATACAAAGTAAAGACGCTATAGCTCAGCTGTTTATGATGCTTACACGTGCATAAATGTGATGAAAATAAACATGTAGAAGTTCTATTATTCTATTAGACTCGCTAACTTATCGAGCGAAGATTGGCTTCATCAAGCACTAGATTAGCTTCAGGTTGAGAAGAAGTGAACCGAATTCGAGTAAACTGCTAAGTAAGCTCTAGTAGCTCCGGAGTAGCTTGACTTGGTTACATTCATATCTCCACAAACGGGGTGATTTAAAACAAAAGATTCATCCTATCGCAAAAGAATAATCTTGGGCATATATCTGATGATCTTTACAGCAACATACTTTTATTTACCTGGGGAAAAAAGAGTTGTGAAGAGGAAGCTGTGTATCAAACAATCAAAGGGTTAAGTTCAGTTGTGCAACTGTAACTCTAGCCTTCTCATTTTGTCTCCAAGTTCCTTACGGTCATCTCAATCCTATAGCACGGGTCGTTCCCGCGCTTCACTCGAGAAACTGAAAATTCTGTTTCCCTTAGCAATGCAGGTAATATCAGAATTGATGGACTGAGCCACATCGGCCACTAAAGCATGCCAAGAGGCACTCAGGATCTTCCACAATCGATAACCGAATCATGCTATGTGTCCATGTCTACCAGGTCTTGACAAGAATTTCACAAATATAATAGGCCATGACCTATCTACGGTTCGGATACCATATCGACTTACAGCAATAAAAGTGGGTTAACCAGTCACGGCTCCTTTTTCTGGACGAACGAATTGACCATGTCATGAAGCAAACCCTGATCAGGAAGCTGGAATTGTTGCTGCTGAGGAGCTAGGGTTTGCGGATAGAACATCATGGGATTGCTAGAGTCAGCTCGATTCGGATTCCTCATCTGAAGCAACTGAGGCAGGAACAAATTGTGAGGAAAGCTCGGTCCCATTGCTGATGGCGACGCAAAAAATGAAGGCGATAAAATGGCGGCGGCCGCATTGCCTCGGAGGTTCGCCGGGCACTCGTGGTTGTGTTGGCCCTCATATGTCGTGATCACAATTGATGGGTCCTGGAACGATCTCTCGACTCGCTTCTTGACGGTGCATTTCTGAGTGGTGCATCTATAGTAACTCCTGGGAAAACGGGCAATTAAAATAAAATCTCAGCTTAATCACTAGTAATACTAGAATTGCAAAAAGTATTGGTGATTATGAAACTCTTGACATTGTACGAGTACAAGTCTCTCCTTTGTTTTTGTAAAGATCAGTACAAGGCACTATATGATGTGCACGGAAAATGCAACCAAGGACCATGAGATCATAAAATTTTAGGAAGTAGGTTCCAAGAAGAATCCTCTCAGATAATCAATTTGTATAGAAAATTTTCGCATATATTCTATATCTACTTCTATATTTCCAAATAAACTGAATCAAATCCTAGGGACAAGGAGGAATTCGCTGAAAACCTCGGATAAGGGCTATTCTTGACCGCCTTTTGTCCATATTTTCTCCATCTGTATCCATCTTCGAGATGATCGATCTCGCTCTTCGTTAAAAAGGCAAACCGCGGTTCCCTCGGGCGTTTCTCTTTCTTTTTCAGCTTATTCCTGTCAAAATTCACAGCGATACATAATATGAGTAACAAAATAATCTTTGAAGATGCAATAAACCTCGTATAAATTGGTTCATATGTTAAGAAAAAGACACATTTAGTGTGTGAGATAAGCAGGTGGGAATTCTTTGACTGTCGAATCCTCCCTTTTCAAACTCTTGACCCAGAAAAACTCAAGCTCCGAAAGTACACACAAATTCTTCAAAAGTTAGGCAAGATTTGGACAAAAAGAAGTTGAAAACCCAACTAGAGAGTGATCCCGTTGACCAAAGTTAGAATGAAAAGCATATTTTTCTTTTCACATCAAAACATGGGAAAAGAGGAAAGGAAAGAAAACACAAAACCCTACCCCTTTTTGGACTTGTCATCATCTTCATTACACTCGGTCTTGTGATCATCCTCATCTTTCTTGCTGTTATCTCCATCTTCTTCGACCGCGGCTTCTTTAGAAGACGAAGACACTGAAGAATATGGAGACAGCGGGCCGTTTTCGCTCGCCGCAGCTGACGACTCAGTGACCGCACACTTTTTTGAAGAACCGCCCTCTTCTAGGTTTGGCGTGATCACCTCGGACGATGAGCAAGACACATCGAAGGCTCTTGACAAGGTGTTGTAATCAGCCGAACCGCGTAAGCAGCCGGTGAAGCTCATGTACTGCCCGGGGTTGTGTGGAGCTTGTTGATGATGAGTGAACATGGAGAGATTAGTGATATCGTCATCGAAGAATCGAAACTCCGGGTGGCTGACTCCTCCAATGTTGTCGGGGATGTAGAAAGGATTGTAGTTAAAAGGGTCATTGTTCTTGCCGCCGGACATGCCGGAGAGGAAGATCAAGAACAAGAATTTGACCAAAACAAAAAGAACAAGAAGAAACTAAAAAGTTAGAGCACAGAGGAGAGCAAGTGTTGTGGAGAGAAAACAGCCGAGTGGGGAGCGCTTTATGAATGGTCCTTAAAGCTTTGTATCCGTGACAAAGAAGGCTGATGAGAGAGAGAGAGAGAGAGAGAGTCTTGTTTTTGGACAATGTGTATGTTTCTCACACCGAAAATAAAATAAAAAAAATGATAGCTTTTGACTTGGTACCTCAATTATTTGCCGATGCATGATGACTTGGACTTTGTTCACTTATTCCCTCGCTTTCTAGTTCCCAACGGGACTCAAAGTGCATACATCATGCTATGCAATCTTATAAAAATTGCAGGAGACAAGATAAGTCATCGGACGCGCTTTCCTGATCATGGGGCATAGTGATCGAGCCCTAAAATTCGTTTAGGAGGATCGATGACACAAGATAAGCAATTTGCAACATGCACAAAAAGGTTATATGTTATGGCGGCTCACAAAATTTTGGTGCGTTATACATTTCGCTAACTAGACTTTGGTTTCAATTACTTTCTAGGTTGAAACTTTCATTTTGTTTCAACTATGCACCTTGACTATTTTCCATTCAAATTTCCAGCAAAGAAAAGCTGAGAGTGGCCATATATGTGGCAATTTTAGCCAGTTTGGCGACAAATGATACTTGTGTGGTGTCATGTGGGCGTCACGTCTCGACCAAAATGTTCACAGGGAGGGAGAGCGAGAGAGAGATAATTGAGCTTTATCATGACATCGTTCCTGATTAGATTGACCCTCGACCTATCTTGCTCACTATCAAGCATGGCCAATCCTCATCCCTAGCCACGATAATCGCTTCACTCTCCACTATTCGAGGCGAGGGCTACGGGCCCTTGGCCTCGGACGGAGAGGCACATCAACCCTAGCATTTTGCATCCGAAATGTAGTCAGCAAAACTGTTTATGAGCGTCGAAGTTGCAAATAAATGAAAATTCATTACGTTCAGATGTTCGAAGCTTCGTTTGTGCGATCATTCATTTGAAATGGGGCTGTGCAAGATATATTCATTTGCATAGTTTCAAATGACACTGTTTTTCTTTCCCATTTCGTAGGGCTCCTCTTCTGTGTGAAATGAGAAGGGAGATCGCACGTGTGGAGGACAAGGCTCCTAAGGGTGCGAATGGTAAACATTCTGCTCCAGAAATTGATTTCTGGAGGAGAAATCTGTTTGGTAAAACATGACTAATTCTGCTCCAGAAATTGATTTATGGAACATAAATCTATTTTGATTTGTTGATTTTTTTTGCACCTAAAAAAATTTAAATTTTACTCAAAGTGGGTGGTCACATGTATTATAAGCCATTCTGTAAAGTTTTGAAATTTTTGATTTTTTTTTAATTTTTTTTGGCACCTAAAAAATTTTAAATTTCATTCAAAGTGGGTGGCCACAGGTATTCTAGGCCATTTTGTGAAGTTTTGAATTTTTTTTTTATTTTTATTTTTTTGGGCACCTCAAAAAATTTAAATTTTACTCAAAGTGGGTGGCTACAGATATTCTAAGCCATTCCGTGAAGTTTTGAAGTTTTTTATTTTTTTTTATTTTTTTGGGCACCTCAAAAAATTTAAATTTCACTCAAAGTGGGTGGCCACAGGTATTTTAAGCCATTTTGTGAAGTTTTGAAAATTTTTATATTTTTATTATTTTTATTATTTTTGGGCACCTCAAAAAATTTAAATTTCACTCAAAGTAAGTGGCCACAGGTATTTTAAGCCATTTTGTGAAGTTTTGAAATTTTTGATTTTTTTTGGGCACCTCAAAAAATTTAAATTTCACTCAAAGTGGATGGCCACAGGTATTCTAAGCTATTATGTGAAGTTTTGAAGTTTTTGATTTTTTTATTTTTTTGGGCACCTCAAAAAATTTAAATTTCACTCAAAGTGGATGGCCACAGGTATTCTAAGCCATTTTGTGAAATTTTGAAATTTTGAAATTTTTTTTTTTGAAATTTTTTATTTCTTGTAAAAAAGGAAATTTGGGCTAGAATGCATTCTGGAAGAGAGAAGCTACAAAAAGTAGCTTCTCTTTTTTGGGCCAAAATTCATTCTGGAAGCAAAAATTCATTCTAGAGCAAAAAAAAGTATGAAGTTTTACCAAACGCGTTTTTATTCCAGAATGTAAAAATTGCTCCAGAATGCATTTCAAAATTATTTTAACAAACGCATTTCTGTTCCGGAATGCATTCTGGAGAAGAATTTCTGCTCCAGAATGGATTCCACGCGCGCCCTAAACCATAGTTTGAGTTTGACTATAGCTGGCACGTGGGAGTTTATTAACTTTTCTTTTTCTTTTTTGTGGGTCCCCCCTATTCATTTACACGCCTAATTTACTTGTGAAATGCGCCATCTCTTTGTCATTCCCCCGGAATTTCGTGGCAATCTTCTTGTCAAACTTTCTACTTCTTTCAGAGAGTCTGTCGCTATCGTTCTGGCTATTGTTCTAGGCCCCCCTCATACGCTAGATCATACGGATTTCACGTGACTCATCTTATCTAATGATACACATATTTCACTGTCTAAATACCCTCCCTCCAAAAAAATAGCTCCCTCATTTCACTGTCTTTTCGATGCGTCTAGAAATGAAATGTGAAATAAACAAAAGAGAATAGATTTAGATTATTTTCATTCAACCTCATGTTATTTCGATAGTGGGAATTATGTCTAAGTCATAAAGAAAAATAAGTGTTTAGCTGACTCAAATGTAAGAAAAATCTTAAATGATATAAGTTCGATGCATTAACGGTTCTATCGTCATGTGATGTTGGAAGACATGTCAGCTCCATTCATTGTGCTATGTTAGGAAATCACAGAAGCACTTATTAATATCATTCATAGCACACCGTCCGATTAATTTTTTCGTTTGATAAATGTTTTAATTTTTTCGTTTGATAAATGTTTCTTCGCGACAATGAAATCACCTTGGATCGATGAATCCTAAACCGCACCTTATGAATGTCGTAAATCACATAAGCGACGGGCCAAATCTAGATATGGATGACATCAATCATGCTCAGCATATCGATGTCGAGCCTTTGATCCATACACACAAGTTCGCCGTTTAACCATTAAAATCATTCCGTTTGATACAATAGCATGACACTTTAACTTGAGTTTTCTGGTAAAGGTGAGACTTTTTCACTTAGATACTAGGTAAGTGATTAAGGAAATGTCTATTTCCTAGTGCCTTCTTAAAGTGGTGCCATAATCAATGACCCTTTTAACATCCATAAAGCTTAATGAACTCAGTTGAACTTTCCATGCTCTCCGTTTTAGGCCAGTGGGAGCCTACGGTGTACGTACAATTTGCTGCCCATGCCCATGGAAATCTAGCAAACCTCTCTCACACACCACCTTTTTTTGGCAGATGAAGTTGACTTTAAGGTGCATACCTCTTGTTAGAGCGCCACACACTACTCAAACATGCAACGAAAATGGCCTAACCTCAGCAGATCACGAAACCTAACATTATAAACTTTCGGATCAGATCTCCAACATTAACTTAACAACAGCCTTAGACTGTTAAAGTCTCTTCTCGTACCACCATGGTCCCGTGTAGGCCGTGCATCTTACGAAGGCTTAAAAGCTGGTGTCACGAGTGACTCAAGCTCTGCGTGATCATACGTGGAAGAATGAACACCTCAAGTCTTGTGGTAAGAAGCTGAGAAAGTTTCACATCGTGTCCACACAGTGGGGGAAAGATATGAACCTCATCGAGTCGTACCCTCTCGATCGAGCTTGAGATTGTTGACCCTATGTCTTTTTCAATTCAATTTGTCATGCATATATCTATGTAAAGCATTGATTGTATTCTTTTTCTTGGAGTTTCCGGTCAACGGAGGGCAGGTTACTTTGTTAGGTATGCCATTACACAAATCAATCTTCCAGACACCGACGTTTCCATCTTCGATGGGATTTTGGGGAGGATAAGAAAAATCGTTGCACAAGGATTAATGGCAAGTGGGTACTTTGGCAATAGGAGAGGTGAAATTCGATCCTTAGTGTTGGCTGCGGATGAAAAGTTTTCAGAATGTGTACACATGCGTGATGCGAACACTGCGGCCAAACAAAATATTCCACATCTATACTGTACACATATGTTGACCTTCGTCGGGATACAATTTACTAAGCCGTTACTCATCGACTTTGTTAATGCAGTCTTCGTTTAAATATTCTAATTGGTTTACTTGATATATTAAGTTTCCAGATGGAATCCTAAACTGTCAGTATGCTGATATATATGGCATACATAGCATGTTTTGGACGCTCTTTCACATGGGTACGCACAAGATGAAGACATGATCATTCACATGGACAATATATAGCTAAGAGAACTAAGATTAGAAGGCACAACACATAAACAGAACATTCGGGTCTGAACTCATCATACGTGCGCTCCGATGTCATATGGTAGACAATGGTTTTCTTAATAACCAAAGAGGTCAAGAAATGGGCAACACGATGTATATCTACCATGTATTTTGTAAGAGCATTTATAGAGCGTTAGGGTTCAAGTTCATTATACGTGCGCTCTGATGTCATGTGTTAGATAATGATTTTCTTAATAACTAAAGCGGTCAAGAAATGGACAACACGATGTATATCTACCATAAATATATCGCAATAGTATTTACACCCATGTCACATAATCAATATACAGACTCTGATGCACGCAACCTTCCTGAACATGGCAACTTAGGTTGTTAAAATCGCCTGTCCATAAAACTGTGAACCCGCACCAAGATGCAGAGTCATCGCTCGGCGGCCATGTAGCTAGGTTTTGTCACTTTCTAGAGTACCGAAATCTTTGACCAATAGCCTCACGCTACATTACACCTAAAAGTCTTCATTAATTAGCATTAAGACTGTTGATTAGCAAAGCTGTTCATATCATAGAGAGGAGGCTGGACAGTACTCGAACACCACTTGCCCATGATTCGGCCAATAGCCTCCAAGTGCGTTCGAGGAAAAACAAGAAGTAGAGAGAGAGAGAGCAAACGCGGAACACTATCTAGAAAACACGTCCCTCTTATCATCTCTCTCTTTTCACTATTTCCGGTTGGCTTTGGATCCACGAGACCTTAAAAACAATGAATGTTCTGATGGGCCGAGACTTGTG